TGGCACTGTGGCTCAAGTGGTAGAGTGCTAGCCTTGAGCTGAAGAGCTGAGGGACAGCACCCAGGCCCAGAGTTCAGGCCCCACAACCGGACCCAAAAATTAAAAAAAAAAAGAGTCTCATAGACTTTCCTGCTCAGGCTGGCTTTGAACTGCGATCCTTAGATCTCAGCCTCTTGCTTTTTTTATTTTGAGGTGTTTTTTTTTTTGTCATTTGTGGGGCAAGAACTCTAGGCCTGGGCGCTGTCCCTGAGCTCTTCAGCTCAAGGCTAGCGCTCTACCACTTGAGTCACCGTGCTACTTCCAGCCTTTTCTGTTTATGTGGTGCTGAGGAATCAAACCCAGGGCCTCATGCATGGGAGGCAAGCACTCTACCGCTGAGCCACCTTCCCAGCCTCGATCTCAGCCTCCTGAGTATCTAGGACTTACAGGTGTGAGCTACTAGCATCTGGCCCCACTCAACTTTTTTACTCATGGTTGGGCTCTACCACCTGAACCACATCTCTAGTTCTAGCTTTTTGCTGGTTAACTAGAGATGATAAGTGTCTCAGGGATTTGTCTGCCTGGATTGGCTTGGAACTGAGATCCTCAGATTTCAGCTAACTGAGTAGCTAAGATTATAGATGTGAACTATCTATCTTGATTTACTTTAATTGATTATATGGTACTTCCCTATATGTTTAAGCCACACTTGACTTATCAGTTTCCCTCAGATGGCGACAGTTGAGTTTTAACATTTTGCTAGTATAGTAGGATTGCATGTTAGTGTCTCCTTGTACACATTTCCAACAGTGCCTCTACAGTTTTAGGACTACTAGCCTGCACAAATATGGGCACCTTCCATTTTAGGTTGAAAAATTTTGCTTTTGCACAGATGTCCAATAAGGAATAGGAAATTGTGGTGCCAGTAACTATCTCCACAAAGCCATTGATCAGTTGGGGTATTCGCTGGTGCTTTGCAGAGGGGAAAACTGTTGTGTTCACTGCCATGATCTTTATTTGAATAATCTTTGTTTCTAAAAACCATATCAGAATATTGAAATTGGTCTAGTAAATATAAAATTGGTCTAGTAAATATAAAATGCAATCAAACTGCTTCTAGAGTGTTCTTAACACAAATATACAGCTTGTGCTTCAATACTGTCAGCAACAGAGCTCAATCTCCCAAAGTGGATCAGCTCCATTGACATGAAAAAATACTCATATGTGTGTGTGTGTGTGTGTGTTGCTAGGATCAAACCCAGGGTCACATATGTACCAGGTAACTCAGGTCTATTAGGTAGAAGATTTTCTCTTCAATTAATCTGGCTGGGAGATGTGCTGGATTCTATGCAGTGTTGGGGATTGAACCCAGAGTCTTGCACATTAGCCAAATGCTTAGCCAAATGCTTACCACTGAGCTATATCCCCATCCCTTAACTTTATTTTGAATTTTTTCCCATGTACAATAGGAGTAATGACACCTAACTTCATAATGTGATTATGATGATCAACTGAGTTAGTTATATGAATGCATTATGTGTACACACACATATATTTGCACATATATGGAAATTAATGAAAGCTGTAGTATCTGATAGAAAATACCCAATAGGATGTTGTGTGTGCTAAGCTCATACCTATAACCTGGCTACTCAGTAATTGGAAATCTGGCGGATTGTGATTGGAGTCCAGCTTGAGCAACAAAAATGTTGAATCATTAGTAACTATAGATTATTAAGTCTTCCTGCTATCCGCTGCTCACTACTATCAAACGCTCTTTCTAACAACAAATATTTCCTGAGTGTCTGCTAGAAACTGCCAGGAACATAGAAGCATGTCCACTCTTCTATTAGTATTTCTTCTTTTTTTTTTTTTGTTGGTCGTGGGGCTTGAACTCTGGGCCTGGGCGCTGTCCCTCAGCTCTTCAGCTCAAGGTGAGCACTCTACCACTTGAGCTACAGCGCCACTTCCGGTTTTCTGGTGGTTTATTGGAGATAGCAGTCTCATGGTCTCTCCTGCCCGGGCTGGCTTTGAACCGCGATCCTCAGATCTCAGCCTCCTGAGTAGCTAGGATTACAGGCGTGAGCCACCAGCGCCCGGCTTCTATTAGTATTTCTAAGAATCTCTGTGACCTTACCACTGAGAACAAGGGTTTAAAATAATGGCAGGGGGCTGAGAAGGTGGCTCAGTGGTAGAGTGCTTGCCTCACACTCATGACGCCCTGGGTTCAATTCCTCAGCACCACATAAGCAGAAAAAGCCAGAAGTACGCTGTGGCTCAAGTGGTAGAGTGCTAGCCTTGAGCTGAAGAGCTGAGGGACAGTACTCAGACCCAGAGTTCAGGCCCCATGACCAACAACAAAAAAAAGGGGGGGTGGCTGGGAAGGTGGCTCAGTGGTAGAGTGCTTGCCTGCATGCATGAGGCCCTGGGTTTGATTCCTCAGCACCACATAAGCAGAAAAAGCCAGAAGTGGCACTAGGGCTCAAGTGGTAGAGTGCTTGCCTTGAGCTGAACAGTTGAGGGACAGCACCCAGGCCCAGAGTTCAGGCCTGACAACTAACAACAAAAAAAAAAATAAAAATATAATAAAATAAAAAATAAAATAATGGCAGTTCTGTATTAGAATGATCTGGGTTTTAATCTTAATTGTACTACCTCCTATGTGGCTGTGGAAGTGTTGCTCATGTTCCATAAATGTGAGCTATTACTCAGCCTAATTGACCCAATGGTCTAACCAAGCCTGCCTCCTTAAGCTGTAGTACTATGAATAGATGATCTCAAAGCTTTCTTCTAGTCCCGAAGTCTATGATTTCTTTATGTTTAGAGGAAGAATTGTGGGGAAAATAATGACCATAATGTTTTTAGAAGGTATAGAAGGTTTTGTGAGCTGAATTCACAAGGATAGGTGCTTGAACAAAAATGATGAAATCAGCTTTGGGAGCTCCTGAGGGTAGAGGCTGTTTTGATTTTCATCAGAGGGACAGCCAATGTTTAAAAGGCTGATTCTGGGCAGGCAGATCTGGGTTTTGAGCTTCAACTTGCCTCCTTTCAGCTATGCAACTCTTTTCTGCTCAGGTTCCTCTTCTATAAAACATGGGCAGCAATTGTACCTATCTAGGGGATCCTACCCAAAACAATGGAAATAAAAGTCAATTAGTATTATCTGATAAATGGCATCCTGTGGGTTTACCTTCTCAGAATCTGATGACAGTCTTCCTTTTCTGACTTGAGACTCCGGGTCTTTGCCTTGAAAAGTTAGGCATGGTGCCTACCTTGTCACTTTGGTAACTTTCTCACATTGTAGTTTGTCTCCATCAAACCTAGGGCTAGCTGGAATGGCTTCTCTTCCTCAGAAGTGAGACAGCAATGACTCCAGCAGTCTCTCGTTGGACGTTATCTCCTATCAGTCAGCCTGAGGCTTCCTAGAGTGTGTGTGGCTGACCCTAGACACTCTGTGTAGGACTGAGCCTCCTTCAGGCCCTGGAAACACCATTGAGGAAACTGATGTTCCAGTAAACCTTCCAAGCCGAAAGAGTGGGCTGAAGCCTAGCTCTGAAAGGCCTTGAGCCCTAGACTGAGGGGTACCCTAACTCAGGAGCTCAAAGTCTTTAGACTGTGCTGGGTTCAGGGTACTAATGGGTGAATGTGTGTGGGCGGGACTCAGAAGTCGTATTAGGGAGCCTTGTACCCGACGGTAGGGTGGGAGGTGCGTCCAAGTAACTAATGGCAACTGGGAGGGGAAAGCTTGCTCTGCGGGAGCGCCTCGACGGTGAAAGACTACAACTCCCAGAACATCCCGGGGCCTAGCCCGGCTTTCCCGCCTGCCCACTGGCTGCCAGTCGCGCGAACGGAGAAGCGGATTGGCTAAGGGAGAGCGGGGCTCTCCCACTAGCATGTTAGTAGGCGCCGCCGGCAGCGGACGTTGACCGTGAGCGGGGAGGGGGGTGGGGGAGCTGGGGCCCCAGCTCGCCATTCTGGAAACTACTGGGCGCTGTCTCCGTAGCGTAGCCGCGGGCTGTGAGGCACCTGGCGGGCGCGGAGATTGCGTAGCGCAGGCGCAGTGCCGGGCTTCTCCCGGGTCCCTAGACAGCTGGAGGAGATAAACAGAGGAGGAGGAGGGAGGGGAGTGCGTGTGTGAGAGCGCGCGAGGGAGTGTGAGTGTGTGTGAGCGCGGGTGTGAGGCGGTGCGCAGGGGCGGGCGGAGGCGCTGTCCGGCCCCGGCCAGGCGCCGGGCAGGGAGCATGGGAAGAGGCTAGAGCTGCCCGGGCCCTCAGCCCCCTTCCCGGGATCCGCGCCCCCCACTCCCGGGAGAGGGGCCGGGCCCCCCCGGACGGACATGGGCTCCTGAAGTTGCGCTGCTGCTGCTGGTCCCGGGAAGAGACCTGACAGGTACGGGTCGCCGCCGCCCCCTGCCCGCCCTCCGCGGGCACCCACCGGCTTCCCTCAACCCCGACACTCGGGCCGCCCGCTCCGGGCCAGCCCCAGCCCGGCCGGCCTGGGAGCCGGAGCCCGCCCGCCTCGGGGGCCCCCCCGGGTGTCCCAAGAAGGGGCAGGCCTCGCTGGGCGGAGGGCGCGGGAACCCGGGGGGCTGGAGGTAGGGGGACCGGCGGAGGGCGGGCTGGGGCTGGAGGTGGGGGAGGCTGTGGGAGTCCCGGGGGGGCTCTGCGGAGGGAGGAGTGGAAGTCGTCTGTCCTATCACGGGACTTTTGCGGAGTTTTTGCCTTCTGATCTGGCGTCGGGTCTCACTCAGGGAGAAAGGGGCAGGTGGAAATTACTGGAGGGCTATGACTCGTCGTGTGTGTGTGTGTGTGTGTGTATGTGTGTGTGTGTGTGTATGTGTGTGTGTGTGGAGAGAGAGAGAGAGAAATTCTCTCGTGGTGTGTGTGTGTACACTTCTGGCAGCCACCAATGCCCATCCTGCCACCAATGGCCTATCCTGCCACCAAACTGAACTTTGGCAAGGTGTTTCTTCCCGGGATTGTAGCCCGGTGCAAAGGGCCTCTGCTTGGGAGTGGGCTCTTCAGTACCCACTTCACGTGGTAAATAGGAAGGGAGGAGATAGACTGCTATGCAGCAGGAAAACTGCAGTGGGTCGTTCCCCTGCCAACCTCATGGTTGGCTTTGCTTGATGGCCTTTTGCCCCCCCTAACAAGTGTGCTACTAAGATTTTTAGAGAAGAGGTTGTAGGAGCTTATGAGTAGAGTATCCAATAGGACTGGGTTCCTTATAGTTCTTCTCTGATTTCCTTTTAACATGCTAACTTAGTGGTAAAGCAAGTTGAAACTTTTATTTTTAAGTTTGAGTTTAGAAGCTGTAGCTTCCCCATTCCTTCCAAGAATGGGTGGAAGATCAAGGTAAAGTGGTAGTTAAGTAAGTGTTCCTTTTTAGCAAAGCCTGAAAGTGTTTTGGGAAGAAAACCATTCTGTTGCTCTGCATTGGTGGCTCACACCTGTAATCCTAGGTACTCAGGAGCCTGAGATCTGAGGATCAAGGTTCAAACCTAGCCCTGGCAGACAAATCTGAGAGACTCTTGTCAATAGTTATCAATAGTTAACTAGCAAAAGCCAGAAGTGGAGTTGTGGCTCAAGTGGTAGACTCTGGCTTTGAGTGAAAAAGCTAAGCAAGAATGTAAGGCCCTAAATTTAAGCCCTAGTCACACACACACACACAAGCCCTAGTCACACACACACACACACACACACACACACACACACACAAAACATGTTAGGAAATATCCACCCAGTGCATGGGTTTGCCTAGAGGTCAGCATTAAGCTTTTCTGTACTTCCTCGAGTGGCCAATCTCTGCTTACTATGCTGAACAAAATACTGATAATTATTTCTTCGAGTTCTGACTTACTCTTCCTTGTAATTCTTGTATTTTCAGAGGGATGGAATTGAGTCTTTGTGGTTGAGTATAATGCCTAGATCCTCTAAGAAATCGTAGACTTAAGATTTCTTCATTGTTGATTGTTGTATTACATTGGTAGACTAGAAATAATTCTGTCTGGTCAAACTGTTTTAAAGTCTGTCTTTCATTTTCTGACCCTTGGACACATATTCAAGTCTTGTCTGAAATTGAAGAGGCAAAACTTTTGGATTATCTCTGCAGAATAATTAAGCAGGACTCTGTATTTCTTTATATGATGGTCACTGAAAGAATATGTGTAATGATTATGACAATGATGTTAATAACAATTTTCTATTTTTGAGTTTTGGAGTTGTAACACAAGTGGCAAGTTAATTTTTTTAAGGAAGAGTGATTTTTTTGAGTTTGGTTGCTTGGTTCCATGCACGTTGGCCAGGCTCCAGTGGCTCACATCTGTCCTAGCTACTTAGGAGGCTGAGATCTGAGGGTGGAGTTTTTTTTTGGGGGGGGGGTTTGGTTGGTTGTAACTCAGGGTCTGGGGGCTGTCTCTGAGCCTCTTTGTGCTCAAGGCTATCACTCTACTACTTGAGCCACAGCTCCACTTTTGGTATTGAGTGGTTAATTGGAGATAAGAGTCTCATGGGGGATTTTTTTGCCCATTCTGGCTTTGAACCACAATACTCACATCTCAGTCTCCTGAATAGCTGGGATTATAGGTGTGAGTCAACGGTGCCTAGCTGAGGATGGAGATTTGAAGCCATTGTGGGAAGGAAAGTTCATGCTGAGAATCTTACCTCCAATTAACTACCAGAAAATTGGAGATGGAGCTGTGGCTCAAAGTGGCTCAGAGTGTTAGAGCCCTTAACTTACTTTGCGACGTAGTTCCCAGTTGGTATATATCTTACAAAATGACTGACGTTGGGTGCTGGTGGCTCACCCCTGTAATTCTGGCTACTCAGGAGGCTAGGATCTTAGGATCTTGGTTCAAAGCCAGCCCAGGCAGAAAAGTCTGCGAGACTCTTACCTCCAATTAACCAGTAGAAAACTGGAAGTGGCTTTGTGGCTTAAAGTGGTAGAGCACTAGCCTTGAGCTGAAGAGCTCTGGGACAGCACCAAGACCAGAGTTCAAGCCCCATTGGACTACCACCACCAAAACAAAAAAGTTACTGACATTTATTGAGAGGATCTGGTATGTGTTGTTTTTGGTACTAAGTATCATATATTCTCCACTTATCGAATTTAACCCTAATGGCTATTTTGGGAGATTAGAATTGTTTTTTATGTAGTATAGATTTAGAAAGGTTAAGAAACTTGTTTTAATTCAAATTTGCATAGCTAATAGGAGGAAAGATTAAAATTTAAGCCCAGGGCTGTCTGCTTTGTGATTATCAAGTTACCTCTGGGATGGTAACACATTAGAAAGAGCTGAAAAGACCAAAATTTGGGGTATGGGGGAACAGGAGATTGTTGAATTGTCAGGAGGAGAGGGAACTGGACTTTCTCTTTGTGATTAAAGGATACAAAATTCTGAGGCGGTTTGGTAGGAGAAAATTTGACTTTGTAAAAAAAAAAAAGGCTACCTTGTCATGTTGCCCATTATGGAAATATTCAAGCATAAAGTTTACTACTTTGTATCAAGGATTTTTTTTGTTTTGTTTTTGTTGGTTGTGGGTCTTGAACTCTGGATCTGGCCGCTGTCCCTGAGCTCTTCAGCTGAAGGCTAGCGCTCTACCACTTGAGCCATAGTGCCACTTCTGGTTTTCTGGTGGTTAAATGGAGATAAGAGTCTCATGGACATTCCTGCCCGCTCTGGCTTTGAAACTTGATTCTCAAATCTCAGCCTCCGGAGTAGCTAGGCTTACAGGAGTGAGTATATCAAGGTTATGAAAAGGGCTGGGAAGTTGGCTCAGTGGTAAAGTGCTTGCCTTGTATGCCTGAGGCTCTGGGTTCGATTCCTCAGCACCACATAAGCAAAAAGAAAAAAGCCGGAAGTGGCGCTGTGGCTCAAGTGGTAGAGTGCTAGCCTTGAGCTGAAGAGCTGAGGGACAGTGCCCAGGCCCAGAGTTCAGGCCCCATGACCAGACCCCAAAAAAGAAAAAAACAAACTGTCCCTCTATGAAAATGTCTACCTCTCTTTTTATTTATTTATTTATTTTTGGTTGGTCGTGGGGCCTGAACTCTGGGCCTGGGCACTGTTCCTCAGCTCTTCAGCTCAAGGCTAGCACTCTACCACTTTGAGCCACAGCACCTCTTCTGGCTTTTTCTGCTTTTGTGGTACTGAGGAATCGAACCAAGGGCCTCATGCATTCAAGGCAAGCACTCTACCACTGATCCACCTTCCCAGCCCATACCTCTTTATTTTTTTATCTATGAAACTGACATGTTTTGATTTCCTGCTTTATACTGGAGACATTTCTATAATCTCTCTTAATTCTTAGAAATCTCCTATAAGGCAGAATGATTATTATCCTCAAATGAAGAGAACTAAAGTTCCAGAAAGTTCAAGAATGTGCTAGAAATTACATAAATAGTAATAGTAGAGCTGCAATTTGACCCATGTCTGCTTCCTGTTTGCTGTGTGACCTAGACTAAATAATAAATCATGGGTCCTCTCTGAGCTACAGAGGAATTTTCTCATATGTCAAAAAGAGTTTATGATGGTACTTCTTGCCTTACTATGGATTGATGAGGACTGAATGTCATCAGATGTGCTTTTCACTGGATCTCACTGGTTTTCTTGGAGAGCCAGCATTTTTAGTAAAAGGAACATTTCTTTATTAGGACCAAAATGCTGAGAATTCTGGAACTCATTCTTTGTGCTATTAGTAATAGCTGTAGACTCCTCCAAGGGTTTTGTGGCATTAGTGACTAAGACCTAAAAACCTAAAGCCCGAATAATGGGAAGATGTGCCAGCAGATCAGTATAGGAGGCAGTGTTCTCCTTTATCTTTGTCCAGTGCAAAGAAAGTTTTCAGCCATTGCTATAGGTCCCGATTCAAGTGTGACTACAATTTTAAATTTGATGTCTTATTTTAGGATGATCAAGGTCATAACTGCTATAACTGTGCCAGAGCTGGATGTCAAGAATAATGACCCTTAATCCTCTCTGTAGCCATCTGGAGAGGCATTAACCCCATTTTCTTGAGGTGGGGGTGGGAAGCAGAATAAAACCTTCCCCAGGTAGCTATCTCCGTGTGTGGTTGTTTTTTTTTAAATTTTTTTGAAAAAAATTTTATTGTGAAAATACTGTACAGAGGGGTTACAATTACATGGGTAAGATAATGAGTACAATTCTTTTTTTTTTATGAGTACAATTCTTATCAAGCATTGTAGCCTCCTCCTTTGTTTCCCCTTCCCATCCTCACCCCCATCCTCACACACCCCGCCCCGCTCCCCCAGGGCAGTGTGTTATATCAGGATGATGGTTAACTTTTTCTTTATATATAACCCCAGGTTCTGTTTTCATGATGAATAAGACTGTTTATTCCCAAACTTCCTAGGGACCTATCTCAGAACAGGAG